ACTATACAAGTCCAAAAAATCATCGATTTTATGGAACCCGGATGTATCAAAAAATTAAAATGTTAATGTCGCTTAAATTTCATGAGGATCGTCAAATTTGTCGGACAAATACAAAAATGTTGATGTCGTTTTCTTTGTACTATATTTGGTTTTGAAGTTGATTTTTTTTTATTATGTTGTCGTTTAACATCTTGATGTCGTTTTCTATCAATGCAGTCTTCTGTCTGAGTCGTTTAACATATTATTGTCGTTTAAAATTATCTCTGTTTATCACTTATTCTGATTACATATCCTTTGTGGCGTTCTCGGATGAATTTCGTTTATTGAGATTATCCTTGTTTCTTAGTTGCTGTTGTTTGTATATTATATTATTTTTCCATTAGATGTCAGTTAATACAATTGATTTGATTTTTACTATTTTAAATTTCGTGTTGTTTTTACAGTTAAATATTTTTTTAGACTAAATTTTTACAGTTATGTTGTTTATAGTGTTTGTTGCCCTTTTCCAGTCGCAGTCTTTTGTCAAGTTAATGTCGTTTTTGTGTTCATTTGTATTTTGTTGTCTGTTCGCCTGTCGTCCTTTATAGATTATCATCGTCTTCCAGCTTCATTTCTTTGTCGTTTTTCATTTACTGTTATTTATCGAGTTTGTCATCGTTTTTTAGGTGCACTCGCTTATCCAATTAATGTCGTTTCGTGTTCATTCTGGATTCGATTAGTGGTCTTCTGTCCACTTAATGTCGTTTTTCCATTAATGTTGTTTTCAAGTTGGTATCGGTTTTGTTGTCGTTTTTTAAGTTACAACTGTTTTTTAGATTTTATGTCGTTCACCAGGGAAAAGATGTATTTTTATTTGGGATACTTATATTTTTATACGGGATACTTATATTTTTATACCGTACACTTTCAGGTTTTTTAAAATATTATACTCTGAAATTATTTTATATCTAGTAATCCACTTGGAAATATTTCTTGATTACTCTTAGCAAACATTAAACAAGGAAAAATGAAAAAAAAAATAAAAATAAAACGATAATTAACTTGAAAGCGAAAGGAATGAATATTTGAACATAAAATAAAAGTAACTCAAACAAGGGAAGATAAAATAAAAAGGAATTGAACATAAAATAACACTGTTGTTAATTGGCATTAAAGTTTCTACAAACTACAACTAAATGTCAAGTGATAGAAACAAAAAAAAAAAAAATCTAAAATCTTCCTTCTATTGGTACATATAATTAAACATTACAGAAAGTACGTTTCATAATTCGTCATGCAAATCATCCTCAGAATTCTCATGGCTATCATCATAGACTGTGCTATAGAAAATATACTCGTGGTTGAGCATCTCTTCAAGTGTTAAATTCCCATCCTTGTTATCATCAGCCTGAAAGAAAGAAAAAAAAAAAAAACCAAAAACCAACTCATTTAAAAAGCTATTTAGAATTTAAGTCTTCCATAATTACAATATAAATATATTTCATTTAAAAAGCCATTTAAGATTTAAGTATTCCATAATTAAAATATAAATATATACTTACTAGTATGGAATGTTTTTAAACCGTCATATCATATTATAACCATTTAAAAAAAAAAGATACAAAATTTAACGGAGTTTGATGAAAATCTAATAATCTAGAAATACGTTGTGGCAAATGGTGTTATTTTTGCCATAGCTTACAAAAGCGTTATATAAGGACATTTTTCAATGTCACTAACCTCATGAATCAAATAACTGGCATAATATTTGGCATACGACAGTTCTCCAGGGTGAAGGTAACCGAGTATGGGAATCAGTTCCTCCACTGTCAAGAATCTGTCAAGTACGTTATGGAATCATCAAAATGAGAAAATAATCCACACATGGGTTTATTTCTTCTAATTCGTATCTTGTTAGGACAAATTAGGTTTGCGTTTGGTTGGTGTATTCGTGTCATAATTCAAATTATGATTCGTGGTTCACTACAGTATTTTTTCACACAAAAAACACACGTAAATCAAAAATAATTCTGAATCCATAAACCAAACATTCACTAGATATGTCTACACAATTTGCGAAAAGAAAAAATCTTGTGGGGCCAAGCAATTATATATAGTGCCCATTTGTTTGGAGGGTTTTCATGAGTCTGAACCTAAAAAGCAATCCAAATCAGTGTTTTCATTCACATTCCATTTCGTAAAAACCCTTAGTTTTAATAATGTAACCAACGTTAGTTCAAACTTTATTTTCTATTTTAAACCTTACAACTAAAACCAATTCAAATTATAAAAAATCCACGTATAAGTTTAAACTCGCGAAGTAAACGAAACCATCATGTGTATACCTGTCCTTGTCCAAATCAAGCTCTGAAAACTTCTCTTCAGGTTTTGGCACACGACGCCCGGCAGTTTCATACTCAACATAGTTCTTGTAAATATCATAAGTATGGTCACAAAACTCTACAAAACTTAGTTTCCCATCTTTGTCATAGTCCATTCGCCTACATATATATTTAGATGAAAAGGGTAAAGCTCAGATCAAAAGGATGTATAAATAAAGCCTTAATGTGGTTAGATTAAATGGGAAAAGGAAAAATTACTCTAGTTTTTCTGTGAGTAGCCATTTCTTGATTTCTTCGTTGTCACTGTCTTCTGGGTGCAAAAAACTGCAAAGAACAAACAAGGCTTGTATTGTTTAAACTCCACCATTAAGGAAAGAAAAAGTGAAAAAATAATGGAATGACAGAGAAGAACTTACTCTTTGAACTCATCAAAGGAGAGGGAACCGTTTCGATCGACGTCGGCGTTAACAAACTGCTGTTTCCACCATCCAGCTTCTCCATGGCCCATGCCATTTTTCTCTGTTTGGCAACAAAGAAAATACAATATTTCAAAGCATCGTTAGTTTTGTCTTTAAAACCTCGTATCACTTCACCTTAATTACTTAGCATGTTCATTTGTCCAAAAAACTCAAAAAAAGACAACTCAAGTTTTAACTTTATTCAAATTCACGTTCTTTTAAGTTTTAACTTTATTCAATTTTACTCAACTTTATTCAAGTTTTAACTTCAACTCAAGTTATAACTCAAATTCAACTCAAAAACTACACTCAAATTACACTCCAAAAGAACAACTTAGTATATAGTGTTATTCGTTTTGGGCCTAAATTTCAATAGTTTTTGCTCTTAGACTTTACCCCAATCATTTTCAATTTGAAGATGACTAAAATATTTCTGAATATCATTTTGAGAAACATTTCTTATTAGTAGAATCTAGTGGTATGACATCTTTTGACTGTAAATACCAAAAACAAAAAAAAACAAAAAAAAGGTGCGCTTTTAAGCTTAAAGCGGACACTATTATAAAGTGGCGGCGTGAGTCGTTCCACATTCCTTTGAAGAAGGAAAAAAAAAAAAATATATATATATA